TGAGAAGGGGACAGGCAGTGTGTGGGTGATGGGTGCCCTGGGAGCTCTGCCCAGCTCCTCTCTACCCCTGCATGGGAGTGGCAGGGCAGCACGGTGCTCGAAGGGATGGAGAAGTACAAACTATCCCTGTCCTGCTCCAAATCAGGGAGCTGCAGGCAGTGAAACCCTCCAGCCCTTGTCTTCTCCCAGGCCAGCACAGCCTCCAACCCAGCATTTAATCGCTCCCCACAGCATCCTGTTAATCAGAAAGGCAGTGTGTTGTTGTGATTCCTCGCTGGAGCATTTCTTGGCTTCAACCCCAGGGATAAGAAACAGAGTAGAGCTAAAAGTGACTAAATAGCAGCATGCCCCATAGGCAAAGGAGGTTTAAATAGCCAGTCAGTGCCACTGTGGGTTTACAGCTGTTTCTAGGGATGTGCTCCTGGGAATACAGACCTGCATCCATCCTGACCTCTGTGAAGTGGACACGGTGTGTAGGGTTAATGGCAGCATTCAGAACTTCTACAGCACCTGAGTGCCTGTGGCATGAGGATTTCACCCTCTGGCTATCACTGTGCTGGAGCAGGGAATATGACACACCTCCCCAGGGTGTTCATCCAGCCCACCTGGAGCTGTGGACAAGGTACCAACCCCTCTCCCTCTGTAGCCAAGGAAAATTGTGCCTTTGTGGAAGCAGAATCAGGCCTTTGAGAAAGGCAGAAGGTGCCCTTTGACTCCATTTAATCTGATGCCATGTCTTCTCAAGGTTTCAAAGCAGAGCTTTATTCAGCACAGCGATGCTCCTCATCATCTCCTTAATGTACATTGCAACAGCCACTAATAAAATATAGATACAGTAATGGGCACCATCATGTGTGGAGATGGAAACTGTCCCTCTTCAGGGCAATTATGTGCTGAAGAGCAGTGGTGGGGTTTCAGGTAGCCACAAATAGCCATGGAAACAATCACATTATACCCCTGACCGGGCTCACGGCAGGGGGATTATAATGGGGACAAGTCAGGGCTGTTTGCTCGTTAGCAGGAGTCGAGCCGGGTGTGTTTTTGCGCTCTGATCCCAGCTGGAGCTCTGATATGCTTCCATCAGGAAGTGGCACTGAAGGAGGACTGATTGCTTTTTTTAGGACACAACAGCCCAGGGCCTGAGCTGTCACAAAATTGACGACCTTCAGCTTTTACAGTGCCTGGGTATCAAAATGAGCATCTCCTATTTAACATCACTATCCAGATGTCCACTGAGGCACCTCTGGGAGTCCACACCACCCAGCAAAGCACGCAGGACCTCTGCAAAGTGACACATGTCAAGGAGCCTCCCTGCCCAGTTTAGGGACAATTCTTGCTGGTAAGGCTGTTTTGGGAAGGGATGGCCTTTACTCTGCAGGAGAACATCCTCCCTGGAACCAAGCTGTCCCTGTGATCTAACCACCTTATGGCACTCAGGTTAGATCACCAGCATCTCCCTGCTGAGATACTGCTGCCCAGAGGGCGTGTCAGAATGCCCGGAGGGTGCCAGAATACCCTGAGGGTGCCGAGATACCTGGGACACCCTTTATCTCCCTGTAGAAATACTGGTGAAAGGCAAACCCTTCCTCCTTGGTTCTCTCACAGGGCATCTTCGCACAGCCCTTGCAGGGTTTAAGGGACAGGTGCCCACAGGGTGCTGGGGGGGCTGCCAGGTACTGGGGTACCCAGAGGACACAAGGAGGCACGGCAGGTGCCAAGGATGCCAGCAGGGTACCGGCATGCCTGCTGGGTGTTGGGGATGTCTGCCTGGGATGTCCACAGGGACTGGAATGACCGCTGGGTGCCGGGATGCCCACCGGGCACTCCCGGAGGGAGCCAAGGGTACCGCGATGCCGGGGCACGGTTGATGCTCGCAGGGTCCCGCATGTCCTCTCGGTGCCGGTGCCGGGCTGCGGCGGGGCTCTGCTGCCATCTCGTGGGCTGTCACAGCTCCTCTGTGCCGGGGGAGCGGCTGGCACCGGCCCGCGGCTCCCCGGGGACAGCAGCTCCGCTCCGGGCTCCGGGCTCCGTCCGCCGGGCCGAGCGCTCCAGCCCCCTCTGCTCCGCTCTGCAGCCCCTCCTTGGCCAATCCTCCCGCTATTTCCTTCTGCTGCTGCTTCGCAGGGGCACAGAGTCCCTGTTCCTTCCCTGCTGGGAAGAGCTGATGCCTTCAGGAAAGGGCTTTCAGAGCAGCTCGTGTGGCAGGGAATGCCTGCAGACCGTCCCACAGGGAGAGCTGGGCGTTTATCTTCATCATCACGCAGGCAAAAGGTCAGAAGGAGTCCCTTTGTCCCCATCAACATCGGGGAACAGAAATACAAGCAAGTAACGCAGCATATGGCAATACTTCATCCTGTCTCCGTGATCCCAGAGAGCCTCCGGGGGCTGTGTGGGCAGGGAATGAGATGGTCTGTGAGATCCCTTCCATCTCAAGCCATTCCATGATCCTGCAGGAATCGTGATTACACAGCCCTTCCCTCTCTGCCTGTGCTGCCCTGACCAAACACTGCTGGCTCTGCTACAAATAACCCAGAGCAACATCACCTTGTACATGAGCACCTCGATGTGAGCGTGATCCTCCTCTGCTCCCTCCTCTCACCCTTTCCACTGAGAACAAGACCTCAGAACTCCCCCAGCGGGGTTGGTCCAGGCTCAGCCTTGCCCTCCAGGATTTCCCTCTCCTGTGGGTGGCATCTGGTCCCAGCCATCTCCAGGGGTCACTCTGGTCACTCCAGGATGCCCCAACTATTGCCAGACTTCTGGAATCTCCCAAAACCAGTTTGGCTCCTGGGTCTGGGAGGATGGGGCTCCCTCTCTTGAGCTCCTTCCCACCTGCTCTGCCCTCTCCCCCCTGCAGAAGCTCCTGCAGCCCCCACTGACCCCCTTGCCCGAGGACTGTGCAGTGAGTGGCCATGACCTAGTTAGAAACCCCAGATCACAGAGAGGAGAGGAGGTTAATCACCAGCAGCGCTGTGCTCCAGGCAGGGAACAAAAGAGGTCCTGGCTGGGTCCTGGAACCCAATCTCCTGCTTTTGGCTGAGGTTGCCATGGCCAAGTAGACATGGCTGAAACTGCCAGACTTGTTTGTTCTCCTTTCTCAAAGGTAGAGGAGCAGCAAGATACACTAGCCCTGTTTACCTACTGCAGGCCAAAGCCAGAGTTCAAAGCCTGTTCCTCTAACCATTGATGAGAACCCAAACAAGCTGTGAAGCAGCATCCTTTCATCCCTTCCCCAGCTCCCTGAGTGTCTGTGGAGAGAATCAGTCCCACCACTGATGGGCCAAAGGGAATATGCCAGAAGAAAGACATATACACGTATATTTGCGTGTTATTCATATATATAGATATATTTGTATATATAGAAACACTTCAGAGCACAGAGGTGAACTAACCCCTCCTGGGTCTGTTCAGAGCGTGGGGCTGGCCACCCTCCCTGTATTGCTGTTTCGAAAGAGCAGCAACCGGCAGGTTCCTAAACCACAATGTCCTGCTCCAGAGGAAAGGCTGGAAGCACATCGGCTTCTCAGGAGCTGCTGGTGAATTAAAACCACTCCTGGCAGCCTGAGAGGGAGCACTGGGGGATAGAAGCAGCAGGTGGGCAACCTGGCAAGTGCTGAGAATACCGAGTGTGTCCAAAAAGCCACATCCTGCTGGAAGTTCCAGCAACAATAAGCACCAGCAGGAGTGATGAAAAGGAAGGAGGTGAGGGAGAGGGGAATCAGAGCCCACAGCTGACCCTGCAGTCATGCCAAAGCCCTGCTTTTAGGTCATTGCCCGGAGAAAAGCATCATCCTCTTGGAAATGTGTGTCCCCGTGGCCAAGCCAGAGGGAGGTGCTGAACAGTAAACAGCGTCCAGCTTGGGAATTATGCAATTACGTGAGTCTGAGAGAGAAACCTCTCCAACGGCGTCACACAGGGAAGGATCCCCATGCCATCTGAATCCCGTGATGGCAGACCCTGCCTCAAAGCCGAGGCTGCAGACACCACAAGCAGCTTAATCCTCTGAGCACCAGGATAATGGGGCCGGAGGCACAGCACGGCACGGCCGGGGAGCCCTGAGCTGCGTGTGCATGGCTTCATTCCCAAACCCTGGCACGGGGGGGCCGAGCCGTGATTCATCTGCCTCCCACATGTCACCCCTCGCTGCAAATCCTACCCGGAGATAATTGCTGTCTTCCTGAGTGGGTACTCCAGCAGAGGGACCAGCTCGGGGCTCTTTGAAGATGCTGAGAGAGCTGCTAAATATGCAAATCTAGGCACACTGCTGTGGCTCTAATTTAATGGAGTTGTTGACCCTTTGCAGCTGTGTGGGAGCAGGAAGAGACAGACCCAGCTAAAACTGTGGAATGCGGCATCCCTGATTGACTATTCCAGCCACGGGCCAACCTCTGCTCTGCTGGGCTGTTTTAATGGCTGGGAGTTGCTCCAAAATGCCATTTCCAAAGAGCAAAAAGCTGCTGGGTCATATTTCTGTTTCAATTCCATGAAAAAACTTAAAAGAGAGAGATAAGGCCGTAGCTCCAGGTCATTTTTCCCATGGCTGGAAGCTAAAGCAGGTCCAGATCCGCCCTGGAAATGTCTCCAGTGGAGCAAAGCCAGCTCTTGCCTCCTGCTCCAGGCTCCTTTCAGGGCTGCAACTTGTTCCCAATGATAATGATGATGCCAACATCATGCTCCTGCCTGGGATAATCTCCCTTTTATTACACGTGTCTTGATGAGGACAAACATTGCTGGTTCTGCCTGTCCAGTTTCTTATGTAACAGCTCCCAGGGACAGAGGGCTGCACGGGGGAGAGATGATTGGGCTTTGGGAAAAGCTCTTTGGGCAAGAAACCTTAGGTCTGACTCCCCATCCCACAAGGAGTCAGATGATTCCCTTGAGAAGCGCCCCCCTGCTCAAGCCCAAGCACAGACCATGCCTGGCACAACCAGCAGCCTCCCCATCCTTCCCCAAATAAAGCTCATCCACTCTGGGCAGAGTGCTGGAGAAGTCAGGATCAGGCACAGGACAGTGCTCTCTTTCCTGGCTAAGTCCCAGCCCGCAGAGCAGAGCAATCAGCTAAATACTTTATCCCTCTGCAGCCAGTCATGCCAGGGGAATAAAAACAAACCAAACCCCTGAAGTGATCCCTTTGCTGGCCTGACACTTCAAAGCCTCTCACCTCTCCCTGTCTTTCATCGGAGTTCTAAACTCCTTAGGATGTCATCACGTGCTCCATAAATAACAAATATATATAAACAGGGGCTGTGGAGGATGCAGCAGTCAGGGGAGGGGAGGCAAAACCCCAGATCCTCCTCTCCTGCCAGCGCTGAGACGGCTCCCCTGGAGGCAGGCAGCGGCTCGGGGACCCCGGCTGGTAAGCACCCACATTTCTGTCATATCCCAGGGGTACTGACAGCCTCGGGGACAGCTGCTGGTCCCCTGGCCACTGCCACTTGCCCCTGTGTGCCAGGATGGGGGGAATTTCCCCAGAGGGGTGGGAGGTTGGTATACAGAGCTGAGCTTGCTGAGAAGTGGTTTTGGCACAGGGAAGGGTGTGACTCTCATCCCAGCCCCTGACTCACCCCTACACTTCCAACAAGGGACTCTTCTCACTGAAACCCTCCGTGTTCTGGATGGGGGAAAAACTTGAGCTCTTTTGCACAGAGTATTTGACTTTAAGACTGGGTGAATAACTAATTAAATATCAACTAATTAAAAAAATCCAGCTCCAAACCCAGGCAGACGATTCATAACTTAGTAAAAGATGCTGCAAGTGGGGGGTGCTGTGCACCTGCCTGTTTATTTACCTGTGAGCATCTCTCTGGACCATGGGGATGCTCTGATTTCTGGTGCACAAACACAAGTAATGGCAGGAAAAAAATTACAGAGCAAGCTCTTGGTTCACTGCTATGACACACAAACATAGTGGGCTCATCTCAGACACGTCTGGCAAGGAGCCACAGCACAAAGTTCAGCCTGGGGTATAAGTGACTGGAACAAATACAGAAGGCTTTGCTGAAGCGTCAGAGGACAGATGAGCCATGGAGAATTTTCCTCATCACTGTTTCTCACTTACTCTGGGACCTGGGCAGAGTTTCCTTCTCTTCTGCAGGTTTGATGCTTCCCATGGTTACCCCTATGGCTGTGCAGGGCTCGTGGTTTTCTCCAGGGGCAGGGAGCACTGTTGGCTCCTCTATGCATCCCTCCCTCCCTCCCCAGAAAATCTTCGACTCTTCAGGGAGCTGGGAAGCAAAGCAAAAAGTTCATTTCCAGAAAACAAACATAAATATATCAGCCCTTCAGCTGTATAACCTGGGTTGCCAGGAATAACATGCTGGAGGGGAAAAAATACAAGGAAAACAAGCAAGGAGAAACCTTTCTCCTTCCCTGCCTACTGCTCCAGGGTGTTGCTGGCTGGGGTCTCAGGCAATTTCTAGAAATAGCTGAAGGCACCTGATTGCCCTTTCCCAGTTTTTTCTGATGGGATTGGAGCAGCCATTTGAACACGAGGTTCTGAGCCTTTCAGTTCTGTAGATGTCCCTGTAGAGACTTCTTGTGACTCAGGATTTCCAGCCTTCATATGCTCTGGGATAGAGACTTGCTCTTGGTCATGGTGGCCCCTGAAGAGCAAACACCCCTGAGGAACCTGGGCTGGTGGAAGGTGCCCCTTCACTGCAGGGGGGTGAACTGCATAGCCTTTAACAGTCCTTTCCAACCCAAACCATTCTATGATTCCACAATCCAGCTCCCTAATTCCCATGGCAACTGAAGTGGCAGCCCTGCCTGAGGCCATATTCAACTGCCCTCTCTGCCCTGCCATCCCTGCACAGCCATCCCCAGCCTGATCCAGCAGCATCCCCAGAGCTCACCCCAGGCACTCAGCACCCCCCAGGATCAAACCACCACTGCATCTTCAAGGTCCCCTGAGCTTACCCTCTTACCTACTCTGGGATTTATTCATGCAGATGAGTCCCTAATCCAATTAGTAGGACAAGGAGCTCCAGAAGATTTGATAATAAGCTCTACACACACTACACCCACCCCCCACTCCCCCAGCACCCCACTTTCCCCACCAGCTCACCCTGTTTCACTTCCCTCCTGCAGGAGCATGAACCACCCATTCCCAGCCTGAGTTCAGTCAGTCCTTGGTGACTGGAATGAGCACTGGGGAACCTAAATAATTCCCCTGCCAAGGAAACGCTCTCTAATGATCTGATCCCTTAGATACACACCCACAACCAAACCAGCAACTCATTGAAAATATATCCCAAGACCACCCTGTCTCACCTCAGACTGGATAAGACTGGCATTTCAAGCATCCAGCCCTTGGCATTTCTGGATGGAAAATTCCCAGCTTGTGCTGGTTGTGCCCTGTGCAATGTTTGTGCTGGTAATGCTTTTGTTTCCACAAATCCTATTAGCTGGAGGCAAGCCTATAATTAGCAGGGAAAGCCGGCACCTCTGAAACAATAATCAAAAATGACCCAGCTTTGCTCTGGCTTGGCTGGAAATTGCTTGCATATTGGTCTGAGTTTGGATGGATGGTTGAATGGATGGCTCTGATAGCCATTCCCACTATTTCTGTCTGCAGGATGCGTGTGCTAAGTGAAGTTATTCACACAGTTTGTGGTTCTCTCTGGGTTTGATAACTCGCTTCAGCTGCACATGAAAGCAGAGGCAGATTGAAGCTACAGGCTCTGATCCAGGTCAAAGGATTTGTCTGAGCTGTGCAGAATGGGTGCTGCCAGGTGACCTTCAGGGCTGGTGACCCTCCTGGGGGATCCCATGTTGAAGGTGGAGTGTCCTGGCCTGGGCTGTGTCTGCTGGGATCCTGCTACCCAAAGCTCCTGGGGCACCTCACCAGGGAGGACACCCGAGGCTTTCAGCATCAGTCACCTGCTCAGCCCTGCCAGGGACCACCCCTGTGAGCGTGGACATGACCTAAGAAGCCAAAAGAGGTTAAGCTGTGTCACTCAGCTGCTCAGTGAGTCAGAGAAGGGGGTGAATCCTGTCAGCTTGTGCTGTCTGGAGGAGGTGGCTCTGGCTGTCTGATGTGTGTCCCTGTCAGGGCACCTCTGTGGTCTGGCACTGACCTCTTACTCCAGCACAGCTGGGCTGTTCCACAGACACCAGAGGATCACAAGGAACTTTCACACAGATAGATGCTTGTTTTATGGTTCTTGGCTTCCTGCAGGCACATCCCACCCTTCCTGTCCCCAGGGCAGCAGCTGGACTTTCTCCAGGGTTCTCCTGCCCATCCCACTGCCTGGTGCTGTCATGGGCTGGGCAATGTTGGGTAGGATGCTCAGCCTCCCACCTGCTCCAGCTCTAACAGCTCTTCTCCCTGCTCTGTCCCACCACTGGGACACTGCTTTTGGCCCCCTGCTCCCTGGGGCTTGCTCAGCTCACAGCCAGTGCCAGCCTCCAGTGCCCCCAGCTCAAAGGGAGGGCAGATGGCATCACTGTGGGTGAAATTTGCTGTATGTACACACACATATCCATGGGAAAAGGGGGACAAGCAGCCTAATCCTATCTGTGAACAACAGATACTTCTGCTGGCTGACGCTGCTGGAGAAGCTGGGCTGGAATAAAGGGCGTGGGAGCCGGCAGAGGCTGCCCTGAACAGGGGGAGCGGTGGGAAGCCAGGCAGGAGGAAGAGGAGGAAGAGGAGGAAGAGGAGGATGTCGGCTCTCAGCACGTTGCCCTTCCTGAAGCCGGTGCAGCTGCGGTCGCCCCGCAGCTCGCCCGGGGGCCAGCGCCGGCACACGCTGCCCGCCAGCGAGTTCCGCTGCCTCAGCCCCGAGGATGCTGTCAGCGTGTTCGAGATCGAGCGTGAAGGTAAGGGGGACCCAGGGGATCCCTTGGCATCTGTCTGCAGTCCCTCGTGCTCCTGCTAATGTCCAGCCCCTGTGTGTGCCCTCGTGCCAGGGATGCGGTGGCCAGGACTTGTGGCCAGGCCACCGCGGGCTCCCTAATGAGGTGGAGGAGCTGTGGTTGATGAGCTGGAGAGCCACAGCTCACCCAGGGGTGGGGATGGTGGTGCTGAGTAGGAGCAGGTGAGTGAGGAGCAGCTCTCCCAAAGCAACCTGTGAAAGATGGGATAGGGAAAGGGGAAGTGGGAGGAAGGACACTACACTGTCTCCTACTGCACAGGGGCACTTTGAGGTGCCACCCTGGCAACCTTTCCCTGCTTCCTTCACCACAGCTTCCCTCACCCAGACCCACCCAGCCCATTTCTCTGCCCTCTCCAAGGACAGGAGCAACCAGGGAGATGCTGAGAGGGAGGGTTCAATTCAACGCTGTATCTCTGGAATCAGCAGAGTTAGGAGCTGGTCACTGGGCGGTGGAACTGACTCTGGAGAGGCACAGCTGCTCCCTAGAGCCACTTGTGTCCCTCAGAACTCCTACAGGCCTAGTAGTCAGCAGGACACATGCCGTCTCTCCTCATCACATCCCACTTTCCCTCCTCCACATCAGTGCTGGGAGTTTTTCTGGGTTGGGTGTGCTTTGTCTCTCTCACCGTGTTCACCACTGCCCCCCTCCAGCCTTTATATCAGTTTCTGGGGACTGTCCCCTGCACCTGGATGAGATCCGCCACTTTCTGAGCCTGTGCCCGGAGCTGTCCCTCGGCTGGTTTGAGGAAGGGCGGCTGGTGGCATTCATCATCGGCTCCCTCTGGGACCAGGAGAGGCTCAGCCAGGTATGACCCAGTCCTTCCCACCTTGTGCACTGGGAGAGGCACTGCCAGAGCCTGGGGACCAGCCTCCCTGGGGCCCTGAGGCTAACCCCAAAATCTTCTCCCAGGACTAACTGCTACAGGGCTGCTCTGGTGGAAATGAACCTTCTCATTAATTAATTTAAATGCTGCTGTTAAAAAATATGCCGAGTAATTCCCATCAACATTCATTTTAAAATGATAACCCCCCCCGAGGATGACGGCAGGAGGTGAACAGGGATGAGGAGCTGGGTTCTTTGGGGTGGGGACTAAGAGGCAGGATGGGACCCCCTGGTCCTGCTAACCCCTGTCCCCCCCTGGCAGGCAGCACTGACCCTGCACAAGCCTCAGGGCTCAGCTGTGCACATCCACGTGCTGGCCGTGCACCGCACCGTCCGCCAGCAGGGCAAGGGCTCCATCCTGATGTGGCGCTACCTGCAGCACCTGCGCTGCCTGCCCTTCGCCCGCCGCGCCCTGCTCATGTGCCAGCACTTCCTCGTGCCCTTCTACCAGAAGTGCGGCTTCGAGGCGCTGGGGCCCTGCGAGGTGACCGTCAGGGACCTGGCCTTCGTGGAGATGCAGCACCCTGTGCGGGGACACGCCTTCATGCGCAGGAACAGCGGCTGCTGAGGCCCCTCTGCTCTGGCCTGCCTGGGGGATGAGAGGCTGCAACCCCTCTCCATCCCCAGCACCGTGATCCATCTTCCCTGGCTGGCCCTGGATACAGCTCTCCCTCTGTCACATCTGCCTTCCAGCCACACCAGCCTGGCCCCGTCCCATCCCTGCAGGGCTGGGCACAGAAATTCCTGCCAGATCCTGCTGGAAGCATCAGTTCCCCGGGTTCTGCTTTAGCCAGGGCTGTGCTGGCAGGTCTGGGTGGGCTGCAGGGCCACGAGCCCCCCCGGGATGGAAAGGCTTTGCCCTGGGAATGGCTGGGGGCTCTGCTGGTTTGAGGGCACTTCCACCCGCCGCAGTTTGCTGAGACAGCCAGCAGAGCTCCTGCAAACACGTGCCCCAGCCTGGCACCCCTCCAACCAACACCACCACCATGAGTGGAGCACACCATGGCCAAGCCCTCCCTGAGCAGCCCCCAGACATCCTTCCAGACCCCTTGGAGTACATTCTCCCTGCCCATGGCCACCCTCAGCTGCACACTGCAGAGCCTCCCCAGGGAATCAGTCCAAACCATTTGATCTCCCTGTCCCAGACCCACAGCTGGTCCAGGACAAGCCTTCTGCAAACAACTCAGGTTGTTGGAAAGCAGCAAATAAAGATGTGGTGGTGATTTTCTACACAGCCCACGTGTGTTCCTGCCCTGCTTTGATCACGACCTCAGCACAGTGGCCAGAGGGAGGGCAGCAGCTGGCACCAGGGGAGCAATCCAGGACCTCTTGGGCCACCTCAGCCTCAAGGGAGAAGGGGAAAATCCAGGCTCAGGTCATTCAGTGAAGGGTGGGATAAAGGCAGGGGTGGCTCTCCCCTCAAGCAGGATCAGGAGGTTCCATGGATCCAAGTGTTTGGCTTCTCCTTCTGCTTGAGACCCTCCAAACCCTGTCTCCTCCCAGGGAGGGGTTTGAGTGGCCCATCAGGGCACCAGCCCCAGCTTGTCCTCCCTCCCTGCCACACCAACCATCACCAAAACAACCAGAACGCCCCAAAAGTGCTGTGTCCCCACACCCAAGAAGGGAGAAAAGGCCTCATGCATCTCATTAAATACAGGTAGAAATTTATTAAGGGGGGGGAACCCTCAGCTTTTTAAAAAAGTATCAAAAAGAGACAAAATGAGGTGAAGTGTCTGTCTTTGGCTGGAGCAGCAACTGGGGGGACAGAGTGGGGCTGAAAACTGGCCCAGGGTGGAGGGAGGGATGCAGGGACGGATGCAGATGCTCCTGGGCTCACTCAGAAGTGGTTGTAGAGAGGGAGCCAGGCCCTCAGCCCTTGAATATTCATCCCAGGACATCTGAACTGGAGGACTCCCACCTGCCCCTTGCTTTAAAAGCACTGAGGCCTCCAGCACCAAAGCAACACATCTCAGGGGAGAGACAGCCTGGCACCAGCCTGGCTCCAGACAGCCCAGAGGGGTCACCCAGACCCCTGGAAGGACCTGCCTTCGTGCCATGGCTGGTGGGAAGGAAGAGGAGATGCTGGGGAGAGCAGCCCAGGGCTGGGGGCAGGTGGGAATGTGCAGCCTCGGGCAGGGAAGAGGGAAGGTGACTGCCCCATCCTGCACTTCCCCATCTGACCAGCACCACTGGAGGAAGGGAGGGCTTCCAGCAGCTCCACGCTTTGACAAAGGGAAAAGGGAAACAGCAGGGACTCAAGGCAGAAGGTGGGAGCACCAACAGCTTCCTGAGAGGTCTGTGGGCTCCAGAAGCAGCCACACGAGCTCCCCAAGGGGTTCTTCTCCATGTCTGCCTCACACCATGGCACTACAAATGTGGTCCTTGCCACTCCTCCCCTTCCCAAAAGAGAATTTAACTGAAATAAGGGAAAGAAAAGCCCCCTGTCCCAAGTCCTGCCTCTCTGTGCAGTCAGGAGCCATGTGGGAAGGCACAAGCCTCCTTGGGGGCCTCAGAGAGAACAGGGCTGAAAAATATATTTGAAGCTCAGCTCTGAACATCTTGGAGCCACAACAGAGACTCCAGGGAGCCCAAAATGGAGAAACCCTTGACCTAAAGAGCTGTGGATAAAAAAAAGTGCCCCTGCAAAAAGGGGGTTTTGTTCACAGTATGAGCTGCAGTGCTGCAGAGCACTGAGGTGGGATGGGGCCCCAGGCAGGCAGGGGCACAGGCTGGAGACTTCAGCAGCTTCACCCAAGGACTGGGAGTCCAGCCTGGCCATGGATACACCAAAATCCCACTTCCCTCAGCCCTTTCCCCACACAGGCAGCAGCCAGAGTCAGTCCCCAAAGCAGTTATGGCTTTCCAGCATCAGGAAGGAGCCCCAGAAGGGTTGAGGGCAGGGCTGGCTCAGCCCTGCATCCCCAGCGTTGAGCAAGGGGTACCCCAAACCCACCATCCCTGAGGATGGAGCCATGCCCAGGATCTGCCCCATCCTGGAGCAGCCACCACCATCTCCCACGGGCAGGGAAGGACCCACCCCATGGAAAACAATCACCCATCCCAGCCCCGTCCCTGCCGGCAGGGTCAGTGCAGGACCTGCTCCAGCTCGTACTTCTCGCAGAACTTGCTGGTGAAGGGCAGGCAGGTGAGGTACTCCACCCAGCGCCAGTTGATGGGGTACACGTACAGCCACACCACCAGCGAGCCAAAGAGCCCCACGAAGACCAGCAGGGACACGATGATCATGGCCCGCTTGCGGTACTTGTCCAGTGTGCCGAAGGTGATGTAGGGCAGGAAGGCGAAGGACAGCAGGAGGCCGCTCAGGAAGCCGAAGAGGTGAGCGATGTTGTCGATCCAGGGCAAGAGGCCGCAGATGAAGAGGAAGAGGACGATGCCAAAGAGGTTGAGGAAGGCTTTCCAGGGTTTCTCCAGCACTTGCCAGCTTTGGAAGAGCTCCACGAAGAGGCAGGCCAGCAAGCCGAACTGGGACCCGGCAGGGCCCACCTGCAGGGATGGGGGAAGTCAGGGCTGGACACTGTGTCACCCCACACACACCCCACGTCCCCCAGGGATCCTCTCCTCCCCTAGCAAAGTGCATTTGGCTCCTGCATCCCTGTGCAGGATCCTGCATGGGGCTCAGGGGTGGGACCCTGGCACAGGGGGATGAGGAGGGAAGCAGGGTGGTGCTGTTTTGGCAGAGCTGATATTTTCTGTGACTCAGCAGCCAGACAGCATCACCCCCTCCCAGAGCACAGCCCCATCCTGGCACACCTGTGGGGGGATTAGGGCCCTTGGCATGATCTCATTTAAAGCCTGACAGGGTTTGGCTGGCAGCAGATTAGCCATCTGCCTGCCCAGGGACCCCGCACGCTCACGGACACGTGGTGACATGTGACACACACGGCATGTGCCAACACCACACGTGGGACAGGGACACCTCCCCATCTCCCACAGCAAACCCTGCCAGGGGGTGAGAATCTGTGCTCCAGCCCCTTCCCCAAATCTCTGCCCAGGATGGGGATGGAGAGGGGTGTCCTCTGGTTCCCTGGGAGCTGACAGGATTTGGGACAGAGCCCCCAAACCCTCACCTCTGCCCTGTAGGGTAGGAAGATGGCACTGGCCAGGTTGCCCGTAATGCCGCTGAGGATGAAGATGATGGAGATGCGATGCCAGCCTGCCAGCTTCTCCAGATCCCGCAGCACCGTCATCTGGAACGTCACCGACACCAGGCAGTGGATGATGCTGGGGAGAGGCCCTGGGTTAGAGACCCCTGCCCAGCCCCCCCACCCAGTGCCCCAGGGCATGAGACAGCTCACAGAACACCCCCACTGAAGGCACCTGTCACCATAGTCTGGGGGTGCCCTTCCCTCTTCTCTCCCACCCCATCCCTGGGCTATGGGGGCTCTGGCTCACCCAGCATGCAGGAACAGGGACAGCCACAGGCGGTAGAACTGGTCAGGGACCTCCGGGTTCAGGAAGGGCAGGAGCCCACAGACCTCGTCCAGGCAGTGCACCTGCAAAGGCACAGGTGAGCAAAGGAGGGGTCACAGGGATGGGTTGCCAATGATGCCATGTGGCAGCTGTGAGGGGATTCTGGATGGTGTGGGGCACCACACCAGCAAGGTGGGCACAGCAGCAGGAGCCCAGCCAATAGCTGGGAAAGCCTCTGCACCTTGCATCATCCCTGCTCACGCCCATCCCAACAACATCCCATTCCTGGTAGGATACTTCAAAGCCTTTTGGCATCAGCATGGCTGCTGGGGTTGTACCCTGCCATGCCTCCCTGGCCCTGCTCACCTGTGAGCAGAGCGTTGCCTCCTCGTGGAAGTAGCCGTGCATGAAGTCGCAGTACTCCCGTGTAGTGATCTCGCAGCTGGCAGGGGGCAGGAGGGGGCTCGCTGGGGGCAGGGCACACTCAGGACACCCCTGAGCATCCCCTTCTGCTCCCAACCTGCTGCTACTGGGCTTCCCACTCCTCAAGGCTCTGTAACCTCCCTCTGCCCCCAGGCACAGCTCTGGGCACTCATGGGACAACACGAGGAGGGGAGCCAAGCCAGGTGTCCCCTTTGCCGTGACCCACCTGCCCTTGGTGCCGATGCAGCAGGGCCTGCCCTTGATCTCACAGTCCAGGTGGGCAAAGCCCGTGTGGTTAGTTTTGGTCTCGTAGGTGCAGATCTAGAAGCAGGAGGGAAAGGAGCACTGGTCAGAGTTCCAGGGCTCCAGGCTGTCCCTGCAGCCCCCTGCTGGGCTCATTGCCACTGCCACCATGGAGCCACCAGCTGATGGTGGCACCAGGCTCTTACCGGCCACTTGGTGATGTCGTCTGGCCACACATGGGGTGGGTTGGATGCTGGCTCCTCACATGTCCTGGCAGGAGGAGGGAGGTGAGTCGGGTGTGTCCCCCCCAAACACATCCCCACCTGCAGAGCAGTAACCCCCTCAGGCACAGACTGCTCTGGAACCTGCCCTGATCCTGCCCACAACACCCCACAGCAGCTCCTTCTGCAGGGGAACTCTGAGCTGCTGGACAACCCCACTGATGCCCACAGATGTTCCCATCCCAGCAGGACAGGGACAAGCACAACAGCATCACCTGCTGCTGCCCGTGTTTAGGACAGGCCCCACCTCAGTTTCCCCCACTTTCCTCTTCTTTATCACTCTCCTATGGTGTGAAAAAGCCTTCCATATCCTCAGACAAGAGGATTCAAGGCATCCAAGCTGGAAAGGCAGCCCCTCCTGCCATGTCCCACACACAGCCAGGTGACCTGGCCACCTCCACACAGCTGCTGTTTCTACCTGGGGTCCTGGTGACACACAGCCCCCGAGCTTCGCTTCTCTCCTGAGCCCATGGCTGGCGCATTGCTGCCTGGCCACTTGATGAATGTTGCCAGTGTCTCCTGCAGGAAGCATGGAGAGACTGAGGATGCAGCAGGGAAAGCACGGCTCTGACCCCACATGTATCCTGCCCTGGTGCAGGGCAGGGTTGAGATGGTTCCCCCTGTTTTTCCCCAGGGATCCCCAGCCCTTCCAGGTGTCCATGGCAGGGGCACACACCGAGCAGTCCTGTGGCAGGGTCTGGATGCAGCCTGAGTTGTCGTTCTGGACGCAGCAGCCGGAGCCACGCTCCCGGTCCCGCTCGCGCTGGATGAGCCGCTCCACCTGCCGGTCCTTCCGGATGCAGGGGGAGAACTTGGCTCCCAGGTGGATCAGGTCGATCTGGGGATAAAGAGGATG